TAGGATTTGGTCGGCATATTTAGTAGATGGTTTATGTGAAGTTTGCACAAAATCGGTCGAGCGGTTCCTCATTTGTCACATTTTTTGTAATAAATGAATTCAATAGAAACTTTTTTCACAGAAACTTTTTTGAAGTTTTGTTGACAGGACAAGCACGTTGTTATGTCATTCATGCCGTCAGTTCATTTTGGACGTGGTTTGATTAAAGCATATTATCAGCGATAAATTTCTTTTCACATAATTGCATTTGCAGTGCATTCATACAAACGGTGAGTCCTGAATTTATGTGTACTTTTCTAAGTTGCCGTATATGATTTCACATAGCATCATATGCGACAGCTTCTTGGGAATTTGTTTTTTTTTTGTTCTAATTTTTTTTTCGATTTTTAAGCGAAAACATATGTGCATACGGGAAAAATGCCACCAGCCAGACGAGCAAATATAGGTCGGCGAACGCGTAATGCAAATGATGTGGCATTACTAAGACGATCACAGACTGCAGATGAACGCGCACAAGCTAATGCATCGCAGCGTGAACGTAATGCACGCAATGGATTTGTTAACCCAGTACCTGTACTGAATCTTGCACGGCCATCACGAATACGTCGTGCTGTTTTGGCTGAAATGATGCGTGCTGCTTTTAATTACAACAGTCAGATTGATTATAGTATGTATGGATACATTGGAATGATGGACGCAATATGTCCACATTGTGATGCGGCTAACTTTCCAGGTGAAACGCCCGGCATGTGTTGTGCTAATGGCAAAGTGAGATTGCCAGCATTAGAAACTCCACCCGAACCATTGTATTCATTTATTTTTGGGACATCGCAAGCGTCGAAGCACTTTCTGAGTCATATTCAACAATACAATTCGGCATTTCAAATGACTTCTTTTGGTGCAACTAAAATTATTAGAGATAATTTTATGCCGACGTTTAAGGTAAATACTTCAACAGGATTATTCCATGTTTGTATCAATCTGAAGCATAAAGTATATTTAAAAAAAAACTGATATAAGATTTACCTAAAATTGTATACATGTTACAGATTCAGGGCCAGATTTATCATCAAGCTGGTTCGTTATTGCCATACCCCGACGCTGATCATCAATTTTTGCAAATTTATTTTATTGGTGATGAAAATCGTGAATTGGATCAACGTTGTGCAATTGTTTCGAATACAAGACGAGAAATTATTCGTGAGCTACAAAGGTTTTTCGATCAGCATAACGCATTAGTCCAATTGTTTAAAATTGCTCTCGATCGTATGCCAACTGATAATCACAAAATCGTAATAAGAGCTGATAGAACACCTTTTGGAGAGCATGCAAGGCGATTTAATGCACCAACAATTGATGAGGTTGCAATTGTAATTCTTGGTGATCAGTTTCAATCCCGTGATATTGTACTTCATCGTAGAAATGAGCAATTTGGAGATATCTACAAAAATTGACACTAAACATTAATATGCGTGTTCACCTACAAAATGATCCAGCTGCCCATGAGTTCTCAAAACAATTGTTAGAAATTGGTGACGGCAAAATACAAATCGACAGAACCAACGGATTGATCGCTGTACCGAACAATTTTTGTACAATTGCGCAATCGATAGATGAATTGATTGAATGTGTTTTTCCGAATATTGTTCAGAATTACAGAAATCATGATTGGTTGACAGAACGCGCCATTTTAGCACCGAAAAACATTCATGTCAATGCAATTAATTTTCAAATTCAAGCGAAACTGCCAGGCGTAGTCACGAAATATAAATCAATTGACAGTGTTATGAATCAAGATGAGGCAATGAATTATCCAATTTTATAAATGTCGTTGTGGCCCGGAGGTTTAAGACGCCCACTTCTCATGCATGAGGGTGCGGGTTCGAAACCTACCAACGGCAAGTACCAATGTGACTTTTTCCGAGTTATATGTACTTTCTAAGATTATTTAGACACCACTGACAAACGGTGAAGGAAAAACATTGTGAGGAAACCTGGACTTATAATTTCTAATTATAAGTTTGAAATCGCCAACCCGCATTGAGCAAGTGTGGTGATTAATGCTCTAACCTTCTCCGTGTGAGAAGAGGCTTTGCTCAGCAGTGGGCATTTATAGGCTGTTGATGATGAATGAATTATCCAATTGAATTTTTAAATTCATTGGAGCCGGCTGGTATGCCACCGCATTGCTTGAATCTGAAAGTTGGTTCTTCGATTATATTATTGCGAAATATTAATCCACCAAAACTGTGTAACGGAACCAGATTGGCAGTGAAAAAGTTATTGCCAAATTTGATTGAAGCTACGATCTTAACTGGTAAATCAAAAGGAGAAGTTGTTTTGATACCGCGTATACCTATGATTCCAACTGATATGCCTTTTGAGTTCAAACGTTTACAATATCCTGTGCGTTTATCATTTGCGATGTCCATCAACAAGGCCCAAGGTCAAACACTTCACGTTTGTGGTGTGAATTTGGAGGAACATTGTTTTTCACATGGCCAGTTATATGTTGCCTGTTCCAGAGTCGGTACCCCCAGCCGTTTGTTTATTTATGCTCAAAATGGAAAAACAAAAAATATTGTTTATCCAAATGTTTTGGATTAAGTGTGTTGTAAATAGCTAGCAATTGATTTCGATTTTAAATAAAATATTTTTTTGATTAAATAAATGAATTTGATGTTCCGATTTGTTTATTTTATTTCACTTTATACGTAGCGAAGCACGTACCGGGCCGCTAGTCTATTATATAAAAATGAAACCCGTTTCCCGTTGTCACGTCATAATTTAAGAATGGCTAGACCGAATTGGCTGATTTTTTTTTTGTTGTGTTTGTTATTGTCAGGAGAAGGTTCTAATGACAGAAAAAATTGATTGATTTTGAATTGCGCGTACGAAGTCGCGGGCAGAAGCTAGTTTACATTATAGCTAGGAACAGGCATATCTCAGTACCTTTAATTTGAACTCATTCAGTAGTATTTATTTAAAAGAGTAACTAACATACTCACGTACTCTCGCAATATTAATAGTCTGGATTTTTTATGAATTTTGATGAAGATATTTAAAATGACTTGACTATCAGTAAAACCACAATATTTAAAAACAAAACCGCAAGTTTAAATTTAAAGGTAATTATGGATATTTCGGAACATGTCATTGTCAGTAGTTTCATCACTTGGCTGCCACTGAGTAACGGGATTCAATCGATGAATCAAGCCTTCTATTATAAACTAGATAAGTACATAAGCACAACATTCATACAACAGACAATAATTAATTAATTACAATATATTTGCAATTTTTAAATTACCTATTTTTATTGGATATAATATGTACCAATTAGATACGAATGAGTATCTATGTCATTGGTTTTTGGCATGTCTGGTAAGACATGAAGGTAGTTCCTTCCATTTGATATTATTTGGATGATTCTGAGCCATAATAGATTATTGCCTATATACCCTATATAAGTATATACCCTAAAGCCAGGTTAGATTGGTCACATTGATGATTGGTTTGGTCATCAAGATACCGTAGGTATTTCTTATATAGGTTTCTTCTATAAATATTCCAAAAAATAAGAATCTTCGCAGAACGGGAAATAAACAAAATTCTTCGTGTACCTAAAGTATTCCGGAACATCGAGGGATGTTTTTATGATTGAATTATTATTTAGGTTACCTTACCCTAACTTAAGTGTATTTGTTTTTGTTACGTATAAGTACATTAAAATATATATAACAATTAAAATTGTTTGTAGGTAAGTAGCTTACAGTCCTGAAAGATGAAGTAAGCACTTGTCTGTCTAATTAACAATTTTCTGTGGAAATAGGGTCCTATCTAACCTCCGTATATAACTAATTTTACTTAGGTACAGGTAGGCCTAAATACTAATCAAATTACAGCAAAATTAAAAGATAACAATCTTAAAATCAAATTAAAATTAACTTCAATTACGCTACGTACCAACTTAGACGGATCGCGCCATAATTTCCCGCCCTGTCAAAACTCAATTTGTCAAACCAAACATCGTAATGGCGGCCCTGGGGGTGTTCCATAGACAAGAACATATTTACCGATTAAAATAATCGGTATGATCGTTATTTTATAAACGTTAGGGTTTAAAATTGCTTGTAATTTGTTTTTCTAGGTGTGGAGATGGTTCGATAGGGAGATTAAATTGTGTAAATAGGGATTAGGCAGATAAGCTGTGTATTGTTTGAGAGTGACGTGTTGGCGCCTCGTTGGGAAACGGCTTAGAGTTCTGTGTGTGGCAGATTCGGGTCAAATCTGTTTTGTCTGAATTTAATCTTTTAGATAATTTCGAACATAAAAGAGATGGTGATACTGCAGGAATCAAATACCTAACTGCTTACAATTACTTTACAGTTTTTGTTTCTTAACCCAACCAGAATACTTGATTAGTTGTAGGTAGTGTTTTTTTTCTACCCAAGTGGCTCATGGCGATGATGATTATACATCGAAAACATATCACATTGTTTTCTTTGAGTAGGTTTTAAAAAAGATAGATAGGTATCTCCCATATTTAAATCAATGTAGCATTGTAGGTTTTTAGAAATATTTGGATATCTCCCGATTAGCTGGTTGTTCACGGGTACTTCCAATAATTTGTACTTCTACTTTGTTTGTCTGCCTTGTACCATTTTAGTTTAAAGTTCGTTTGGTCTTGTTGCGTTATTATTTTTTCTACAGACATGCCTACGACTGCTAATCACAAGGTTCAGGGTACAATGACCGAATTTTTCGGAACATTGAATTTCTTGTTAAGTAGTTTTGGTCAGCTAACCGTCAATCAAAATTAAATGAGCTATTTTCTGATATTTGATGTACAGTAATAAACTGCATAATTGCTTACCGATTTGTGATATTACCTACAACAAATGATATACATACTTAATTCAATATTTTATGATTGTTTTGTTATTAATGTGAAAATTGGCTCTATTTCCTAGATTAACATATTTTATTGTTCCGTACAGATCGAATTCATCAGGTAGCAGCATCAATTCCCCACTGGGGCCTTCCTGTGGGATGGCGGCTAACCCGTACGCGGTGCCGCTGTATGGCGGAGCCCCCGTCCAGGGCTATGGCTGCGCCCCGTCAGACCTGCCACACTACGGAGACATGAGAGGCGCGGGCTGGTACCCTGCCTCTAACGACCCCAGGTTTGCCAGTGAGTCGGCGATGTTCTTTATAGCAACATTTGTTACTTGAACCTCCTATTTAACTACACAATATTCATTTGACTTATTTACGAGAATCAGCCCTATTAGTTACAAAGTACACCGGGGCTCTCAACAAAGTATGCGTAACCATAATGTAATTTTATAAATACTTGGCTGTAAGGTTTTAAATTGTAACTAATTAGGATACTCACGTCACACACAATCATGGATCTATCATCACTGGGAAAACTTTGAGGACTCTCCCTAAGTGCGGCTTAAAGGATAAGCAACAAGAGAACTGCAAGAGAACTGTACGTGTTCAATTCCCGTACGGAGCAACTCTTTGTGTGATCCACAAATTGTTGTTCCGAGTCTGGGTGTCACGTGTATGTGAACTTGTATATTTGTAAACGCACTCACGAAACAGGAGGAAATCCTAGTGTGGGGCAACGAATTAAAAAAACACTTTTTATTTAGTTGAACTTATGTAATTTAAAAACAACAATAAACTATTAATGTAAAAATAAGACATAGGTAGGTATAGTCTAGCAGCCTAGTACCTATTCTTCCTACTAACTATACGTCACTTACAACATTTTTTGAACAATGAGGACGCATCTAAATTACATAATAACATCCATATAAACAGAATTCACACAAAACATAAAACAAGACATATGTAATTCGTACTATTAACGCATTAAAATAAATTGACGTCAATCAAAATGGCGGGCGAGCGAGCATGCGCGTAGCAAGGATCGTCGGCACGTGAACCGCGCTTCGAGTAACAAACGGCAATTTGATGTAACCCGACGCTTTTAGCTAATTCGGTATTTATCGGGGAACCGATACTGATGGCGTATCATCTCTTGAGTGGGGTTTCCTTATAGTAAGGTGTTTAAGAAACGTGATATTACTATTTAGGTAACTATTGGTTGCTTTGTGGTATAGCCCCAGTTGTATAGTCTCTTCTTTGTGCCTTTAGGCTTAATTCATTCTGTCTCCTGCAGTAATTCACCGAGGGAAGTGGAAACTATAGTTTTTTCTTCTCCTCTTATAATATCTTCTGATTCATTTCGTTGCGGGAACCAAGACAGTTACTCATGTCCCTGGGACGCGCCGGACTTCAGTGTTCCGGTGTTTTCATGGTTATATCTACTGTAGATCCTGGTGCACAGGAGTTGCAGCGGTGTTGGGAGGTTATGGCGGGCTTGTCCCAATAAAAAAAAAACTATTGGTTGCTTTGGTGCGCAGAAAGATATTTAAAGTTATATAGTTTCTTAAATGGGCTAACTTCTCTAGGTATAAGTAATTGCAATCTGCGGTTTATTTGAATCACATAACATAACATCACGTCTTTTTATCCCCGAAGGGGTAGGCAGAGGTGCACATTTCGGCACTTACTCCCACAGTACAATGTAACGCCCAGTTTTCACTATTTATGTTTTGAGTCCCATATAATAGGGGGTGAGCCTATTGCTATATACCGGACACATTTCTAGAATCCGTGCTACAACTGAGGTTTTTAAAAACCCAGTAATTCTTTGCCCGACCTGGGAATCGAACCCGAGACCCCTTGCCCGGCAGTCGTACTTGCGACCACTCGGCCAACGAGACAGTCGTTGTAATTGAATGACTGATCTACCTCTATAAAACAGGTATTGGCCTAGTTAGGGCTCCCGATCTCTTATTACTTCATGCACTTGCAGTACAACTGGTAATTTATGGACATTGAAAATAATCATATTATAAGTAGGTACGATTTAAGTTACATTTTCCATCTTCTGTATGAACTGTCGATTACTCATTAGTAGCCTATCTGATTACCGAAATAAAACTGTCTCAGATTGCGAGTTCGTTGAGCAAACACCATTACTGACGGTGACAAAAAAGCGAGCTACGTGCTTCGCCAGCTCGCCACCATCTTAACCTCAGATCAACCATAATTTGTGACAGAGGCGTCAATGCATTAAAATATCAGTTTACCTTACTGCGGATCAATATGGCCGACCGAAGCGACGTAGAATTCCGAATTGTGTATTTGTTGGAAATGTCGAAATAACTTTTAACGCGCGCTTTAATATTTACGGGAGCTTTGATGTTGTTAATCAATTGGTCAGCTATCTATGTTTTTATTACATAACAAACGCTTTTTCAAGCAAAAACCAATCTATCCTTTAGAACCCTCTAGAGGCCAAAGTATGTTTCTGTACCAAAGTTTCATCACTAAGAAGCAAGTCATTTATATATGTTCGTTTTACAATATAACAATTTACTACACAAAGTCAAAGTCAAAATCATTTATTTCAACTAGGCCAGAATGGCACTTTTGAACGTCAACAAAAAAAAAATAAAAGTGATGCTATTTGCTCATTCCAAGGTGTAGATTCCTATGGAGAAGAACGAGCAAGAAACTCCATAGGTTACTCTTTTTCAATCAGGTTCACAACACGGTAAGTAGTTTTTATTTATTACTAAAATTCTTTAGATCTAGTCGCGTGCCGTAAAAAAATCGTGTCTCCTCTATAATCTATGACTGAACGGTAATTCGATATGGCAACGGGAGCGCTACCATAGTGCAGGTGCATAGTGTACTGATGCACGATGCACACACTTTTATTTAAATTTCCATTTATTTACTGGGTCGTCGTTTAGTTTCTTGGGATCGTGGACCACGGACGCTGTTTGTCCACCGTTATGTAGATTACAAGTCGTACTTTATTTATTTTAATGTTTTTCTAAGAATTTGGAACTTCACTCAAAATTGTTCTGCCTCAAGAGGCTTCTCGCCTAAACGGGATTATTGATTGTTCTGATGCTACTATTCTTTGACCAAGTTAAGTAAGAAGTAACCTGGCTGAAAATCAAACAATTTGACAAGGATTCTATATTTTTACTAACCACTTCTAAGTTTTATATGGCTAGTCATTGCAAGAGAGAAGTATTAAGAAGAGGGTTTGCTCGGTCGGTTATTCTATTCATCTGTATAGAAATTACTTTAGATATATCTCTATATATCGTTATAAAATTAGTTATTACAACTTATAATAAATCCCTATGTACTTTTATTAATAATGAAGTGTAGTGTCTCAAAGCCGCCGGCGATCGCAACAAGACACCACTTGAAGTGGAACGGTAGACAACACAGAGCAAAGACAATCTGTAATTTAATCTAAACTCCATGGAGGAACCAGGTGTTGACGGAGGGAAAGTATGTTTGTATAAATAGTACAGAATTACTATGTGTAGAAAAGGATAGATAGAGGAACGATTGAGTAGGAGGATTAAGTGAGAACAACTTTTGTAGAAATAAAGCAAACGAAATATCTCGGACATAACGCATTTCGCTCAAGACTCAAACAGAATGAAAGAAATCTTATGACCAATATAAATAGATCTGCAGCTTTATAAAATATAATATTACATCCGTACGCTCTCTAAGAAATAAGACTTCGTTTACAAATAATATTTAAAGACAATCACAAACGTATATGTATCGAACATCAAAACAAAAGTCCTGACTAACAGGCTCTCATAACATAACAAACTACTCTATAAAAGCGCAAGACTCGAGCAGCCCTCTACTTTGTATTTTACTGAAATAATTGAGCGTAGGTCGCGCTTCACAATGGAAACAAAAGAATGGGTCGATCTATTTGTTACGGCAAATGAACTGTTTCTACCAACTATAAGCTATAAGTCCAATATAATTGGCCTGTTGATGTGTATGCTATTTGAAAAATATACCTCTACATCAGCCAATGTAGGATGATAATGTACCAAATAATTAATACAGAAATTGGCGTCTCAATTGAGGAAAAATGTTCAGTTACAAATAGTTTGCCACGATCTTGATTGCTTATGGAGTAACAGTTTTATAATATACCTACTGGTTGGGTTGTAACTATTTTTTATAATATTTCGCACTATGTAATATTTTATGTAAATATACAAAAAGAGATATACATTACAAACATTTTGTTCCAAACATTCGTTAGATAACTAAACAGATCACATTAGTGAGCCTTTCTTTGCTGGAAAACTCAAAACTCCAGCCACAATGGAGCTTATTATCTTTAATAATAAAAAAACCAGTACAATCGAAACAAAACCAACAACTCGTCGAACAAAATTTACAAATAATTTAACACAATAATACATCATGCTTCCGCACATACGAGTATCTTTGAGCAGAGATTAAAACGGTAAACTGTCGAGTGATGTCCAACGGACAAAAAAACATCTCGAATACCCACCGAATTATTGTAAAAAAAGATAACTAAAGTGGTCCGAGGAGTGAGCCCTGAGGCACGCCTGTCGCCCGCCCGTACCTGTTGTACTAGGGAGCTGTGTAGACAGACAAAATAAGCAATTCCATTTGATCGGGCCCATATTTGCCCACCACTAGAGTCTTGACTGAGTAAACATTAGGCCTCACGTCCGCAAATAGCGTGATGTCGGTGCATTCGAAGGCTCCAGCGAGTCCGGAGAAATTATTTTACTAAATGGTAATGAATATGGTAATTGGTGTTCGATACTTATGTTCTTGGTTAGTGTGAAAGGTAGTTTGTAAATGTCAGATAAATACAGTAACTCACGTGTTTGCATAATACTGAGCACGTCAAATACTTAAACTTAAAATATTTATTCTACGTGTCGAGGTGAAGTATTTGTTAGATATTTTGTAGATTTAGTCTCATCAAAATGAACGTTCTTATTTTCTTTAGTGTAGTTATTTTTATTGGAATAGTTATGGTTCATAAACTCAGAAAGTAAAATAAATAGTTAGCTTCGTTGTAGGTCATAAAGTCAATGATTTAAATCCAGTTGAACTGCGAATTAATATTTTGTCCTCCATCACGCTATGCAACACTCGTGTCAAAGTGAAAAATACGCGCACAATTTTCAACCGCTCGATCCGCCGCATTTTTCAAGTGTGGCGACACATCAAACGCTCACAGTACCCACGGTCAGCGGTAAATTAAAATTGCCGCGGGGAAAAAATAAG